GCAGCTTCTTCCCCAACAAAGAATCATCACATACCAAAACTTCAAACAAGCATATTCTGCTTTATTAAAGTATGGTGTACCTTGTATTAGCATTTTACATCCCCAGTCTCCTTCAAATGACAGTGTGCTGTATTTTTGGAATATTTGATCTCTCTTATAACTCCTGTATTACATGAATTTTCAGCAATAGCTTCTTTTGGTAGGTCCTTGTTTACAGAGGATGGTTATTATACTTGTTACAGTGGACATCGCATTCAAGGCTGAAATTTCAGTGCTTAAATTTCTCAAATTACATTTGAACTGTGTCATATCTTTTGAAATAATGGGAAGAGATCCAAGCCACAGCAAAGCGGTGACATCTCAGCTAAACTGAGGTGATCAGAGTGGCAGATCTGTTCAGTGACAATGCCATGTTCTATTCCAGGATCATCATAAAACAATTTAAAAAGGAAGAAACTCGCTTAAATAATTTTTTTTTAAACTTGGATCATCCAGAAGCCAAAGGCAGATGGAGAAGACTGGCAAAGACAATTTAAATTTCTACATTCTGTGAAAAAGATTGAAAAGTCAGACTAAACTTGATTAAAAAGTTTTGGAAGTGTGTACATATGCAGTGTTCGTAAATATTTTTTAGAATATCCCAGCATTTTAAGCATCATTTGTGTTTTTAATGTATTGTAAAATTTGCTTACAGTATTTTAGGATTTTCATTTGAGCTTGATAGCTGTAAAAATTGTTCCCAAAATGAACTAGGGAGAACACCATACAATGAATATTTACTGTCTTGGAACAGATTGAGATGTGATACACCTCTGTGTTTTTCTCTTAAATTATGATATTTATTGTTGCATTAAATGTGTCCTCTTCATTAAGTATTTCAAAACTTTTAAAATTATAGACTAATCATCAAGTATTTAATAACCTTAAATCAAATAATTTTTATTAGTTGATATATTATATGTTTTTTAATATATAGGCAGTAATTTTAGTAATAATAACTGCATAAAGTGGAGAGCTAATGTTATTGCTACATACTTAATAAACCACTTCACCATTTCCTCCGAGACTGACTCATCGCTTGAAAAATGTCATCAGTAGATTTAAATGTTTTTAATAATTTAAATAATATCAAAAGGCCAATGCCCATCTTAAATGCCGAAGCAGTTGTGTAAAAATATGTACAATTTACATTTTGTATAAGCTAGTTCAAAACTTCTGACAACACTTTTCAAATCAACAAGTCTGTTTCAAGGAAAACGATGAAGTGGTTAATGCTTAAAGTGAAAAGTTATTTTGTTGAACTGTGAGGACTTTTTTTGTAGTTAATTGGAAGCCAATGCACCTTGCTGTGTTATTTTATAATACTGAAAACCTTCCTTTGATTTTTTAGAAGGATCTAGCATGTATAAAGCTTTGTAATAGCTGAGATAATTTCAGGTATTGAGTATTAAAGAATTGAGAATTCAATTTTCTAAGTAATGAGGTTTAAGTGCTAAAATTTTCTGTGAGTGCATTGTACAATTGCTCTGCAGTCATCACGTTATTGATTTATGAAGCATTCTAGTCAAATAAATTTACAGTTATTGCACTTTAAAAAAAAATTCAATGCATTAAGTCTAATTTTTATTGATTCTTTTACTCTATCTTATGGATTTGTAAATAATTATTTTTTCATGAGCTCTTTGTTTTCATCTCTATTTAAGTATTTGAATTTGCATTGGTTGTTATCATATTCACATCAATGTTTCCATTCATTTTATAAAATTTTCCCTTTATTATGTAATAAATTTAATTAAAAGTTTTAGCTTTTGAATAAAATCATATGCTAAAATTCATAATTCATAAGCTACAATTCAAGTGCTATTTGAAGTTGAATTTCCATAATTTTTTCCTATAGGGTGCTCAAACAGATATTGAAACTGATGTATATTTGGAGGTTTGTGATTTATTTCAAGGCCATGATGATTTAGTTGAAGAATTTAAGACTTTTGTGCCTAATGCAACATATATGGACCAAGAACAAGTACGATTTTTATGCTATATTCAAATGCCAACGATATTTCGCAGATTTAAAACTTAATTGTTTATTACATTCAAAAATGTATCATAAAATTCAAATAAAAAGGAAATTTGAAAAGTGGTTTTTAGTCCAAAGGGATTTGAATCCCGAAGGACTATTAGTTTCGTTTTGGCATTTTGCGTCGGACGGATAAAATGTCGTTTCACTTTCAAACTGTTGCCCATAAAATGTTAGAGTCCTGCATTATATTTGAAGAATTAAATAATGAAAATCTGCATAAATGTATGTATATTTCTCACATTGTCATAAAATAACGGTACAGAGTCATCGAATTTTGAATAACGTAATCCTCCAACGAATATGAGCATGTGGAAGACCAAATTTGAAATTTGAAATTTGTTTTATGATAGATTTCCTATTTTTTAAAACTTTGGTGAATTTTTGATTAACAAACTCAAGGATTTCAAAGCGAGCAATGGCAACGTTGTGCAGAAAAAAAACATTTTTATCTCCAGCGCGTGAGTCTCTGTATCGGAAATTCTAAAGATATGCTCATTTTAAAACTATTTTGCGATATTGCTGTTGCACTGGATCTTATGGTTTAAGTGCGAGGAACATGATATTTAATAAAGAAAGGTAACACACAAAATGTTTTTAAAAAACGCCCCTTTGGACGTAATTTAAAATCTGAAACATTTAAGATTTTTTTTAATTTTTTTTTTTTTTTTCAGGCATATTCATGTATAGTTAAATTAGTAAATGCAATGATGATACAGGTGGATAAAAAAGATCTTAAGAAATGGATAAAAGTATCCTTAAAATGCAATTATATTAAACATTTGTACCATAAAATTAAAAATGTTTAAATTTAACTTTTGAATAGAAGTATTTTTATTTGCATAGAACTTTGTATGATATATATACTATTTCATGTCTTTCAGGATTGTGTAGTAACACCAGATGCAACAGCATTTAGCAGTGAAATAATTATGTCTTCATATGAGTCTTCTGATTATGTGAGTGAAAAGTTTATAATATGATTATACAAACCTGTTTTTAAAATTTTATTGTCTTTTGCTTAAGTTTTGTTGTATTTTAATGACTAAGTTTCTTTTTAATGAAATATAAAGCCTGACATGTAAAAGAAATTAAGGTAGGAACAGTTTTTGGAGTATTTGCTCACATTTTTCATTATCATATGTCATTATTCAATAAATTTTTGGTTTATAAGATTATCCAGTTTTCTATATTGTTTCTTTTTCTTTTTGCAATTTTCTTTCTCAAAAAAACTAGATAAAGTTTAATTTTGTGTAATTTTTGTTCCTAGCAGTGTTTGTCACTAAAAATACCCCCACAATAATGTTTTTAATCATTCTACATTTCCGAAAATTTCATATTTACTTTTTCTTCAAATTTTTGTATGCAGATGTGCAGCTATCATATATTATATTTTTGAGACAGTATGTAAATTTTTCTATCTATGAATAAAAATGTAGGCTCTCTGAATAAAGATGAATTTACTAATGATATGCTATGATTGCTCAATTTTCACCTGAATGATCACACAGTAAATGGTGATCACCAAATATTATATTTGAAGGTAAATTAAGTGTCAATGGATTTTATTTTTGCTTTAAACAGTTGCAGCTTATTATTTTTTAGCCTGGATGCTATTTTTTTTATTAAATGTAAACTAAAGAATTATGTGGATTACAAAACATCAGATGCAATGAGCAGATGCAAAAGGTAGCCATATTATGAACTAAAATGTGGGATAATAATGTGACATTTAATTTCAGCCTGGAACTTACTCTATAGTGCATGACCCATCCATTGCTCCTGTTGCAAAGTATGGTTCATATGAAGAACATGAATTTTTTGACAAAGTAAGTCATGTATATAAAATCTTAGTGTATATAATCAAGTGTATATAAAATCTTATATTTATTTTTTGTAGATACTGTAGATATTATGCGTTCTAGATACTGTAGATATTTTTAACAAAATAAGTTCATGAAGTCTCTCTATTTTAAAATGCATAACTTATTTATGATAGAAAAGTATTGTATGGGTTTGTAATAGATTGAATGCACCAGTCCAATAACAGGTTAATAAAATTTATTGTTATCAAAAGGAATATATCACAACTCTGAAATTTCCCTCAGAGATATTTGTACAGGTATTCACAATATTACTCAGTATAATCAGTAGTTCTACTTCAAACTACTAAGAATGTTAAACGTAGTGCAATGCGAAGCTCATACAAAGAGAAAGCTAACTCGGATATCAGTTCACTCGGAACTAAACAACTCACAACAACAGTAACTAAGCAACTGAGAGCAGATGCTCTCTCTTCAGCCTTAAATAGTTTTCAACCAGCTATGCGAGATATTTCTACTACTTTTTGCTTCTCGAGATTTCTGAAAAGCAAAAAAGAGTGTGGAATTATGGTTGCAGCTAACACAGGGGTCAATTAGTTCAATTTCAATGCAAATTACCGAGATACCCATTTACTCAATGTTAAGTGCTTGTGCCCCTGTATTCTTACTTTTCTGGCACAGCTTTCTCTTAAGATTTGTATTACCCTGCATTGAATGGGGAAATACAACAATTTTAGTTGTAATTCTATTAAAATTGTCTATCTAAATACATTCTAAATAAATTAACATTATTATCCAATCACTTTCGTAAAAGTTTTCCAATTTTGAATGATATTAGTTGTGTGAAAAGAATTAAATCTGACACACTTCTTTCCTTCTCTGTCTCCTTTTTTTTTTTTTTTTTTTTTTTTTTTTTACTGATGCACACTCCAACCAAATGTTTTGCATTCTGCAAATTTAGACAGTGGCTGAAACTGTGCCAATATACTACCTGATTGGAGACACGACTTTTTGAATAAACCACACAGAATTTGAAGGTATTCAAACTAACTGACATCTGAATTATCACACTATTCACAGGAATCTGACTTATGAATATTGTATTTCCAGAGGTAAACAGATCTTAGGCAATACAATAAATAATCCAATGGGGATTTTTAATTGGTTTTTTTTTTATATTGTTACAAAATGTACAGGCGCGGTAAGATGGCTTCCCCGCACAGCAGTTTTAGGGTTGCCATAAAATGGTGAAAGAGAAGGCAGGCTTGCTACATCTGGTGCTACATCTGGTCGCCCATTTGGCGACAAATGGGCGCTATCAAAAAGGCCATAGAACATTTCCATCATCATTATCTCTATGGCAGAAAATTCTTATTGCAGACCAACCATGCTTCTCTAATCTGGCTACTGAATTTCAAAAATCCCGAAGGACAAGATAGCCAGATGGATTCAAAGACTGCAGGAATATGACTTTGAGATAAAACATCGTAAAGGTTACTCCCACTGAAATGTGGATGCTTTATCCAGGAAGCCTTGTCTTGCACACTGCAGTCATTGTTCAAGAGCCGAGGCTAAGTATGGGTTGGCGAATCCAAGTATCCCGCAAGTAACATCTTCAACATCAACTGATCCAGATCCTTGGAGTGATGAAAAGTTAGAGAAGACGAATCAGTGGATCCTGACATTAGGCCAATAATAGAACTGAAGGAATTATCCAGTACAAAACCCAGATGGCAGGACATTTCCATTTTAAGCAAAGCACCTAAAAGGTACTAGGCTCTCTGGCATTCACTCCACTTCTGAAATGGAGTCTTATACAGTACAAAGTATATAATCTGGATGTCTATAATCCGGAATGATCGATAATCCAGACCTCAAAGCTACAAACTTTACGCATATGCGTTTAATGCGCGTAAAGAGAAGAGATACTGTTTATAGAGAGAGACTGTTTATAGAAGAGACATGTTTTAAAGGAATATACATAAATTTATTACATATTAACTGATTTTATGTTAAATTAAGAACTTTTAATAAACTTTACTGATTTTGATCAACCAGGTGCCTTCTCAAGATCACATGACTTTTCCTCTGACTCCTCCACGCCAGCATAGCACAAGACAAAGAACATCTTTTGTTCTTATCTTACATACTCATGAACTCACATTTTGAACTTCCGCCTCGTGCGACAATGTACTAGAAGTACATCTTTGATTTCTTTTAAAACCAAGCAAATGTTTAAATGGTTATAATTCCAGGATATTGGTTAGAACTCTTTAGTAATTCAGCTGTAAAGATAAGATCCAAGATCCATAGAAGAGAGAATTAAAGAGAACGTAAGCACAAAAAACGAAGCAACTTCAACAACTTACATGAAAGAAATGTTTAATAAAGTAAACAAATAAATTAAGCTTTTTTTGTAAATTTTGATATCCTTTAGATCATAATTGCTCTTTATTTCATAAATTACGGTTTCATATTTTTTAATTTTATTAATTTCTGCAGCCATCTTACCAGATTTAAATTGATGATCTATAACCCAGAAACTCCTAATCCGAAATCGCGAAGTCCCAACGCATTCCGAATTAAGACTTGTACTGTATCGACTATGGGAAAGTGACAATGGAACTAGTAAGAGGTGGCAGCTGCTGCTTCCTCGAAACCGAATACCTGATGTTCTGAAGGAAATACACAACAGCTCAACAGGAGGACATTTTGGCTGTATGAAGGCACTAAACAAGGTCCGAGAGTGCTTCTTCTGGAGTTGAGATGTTGAGAAGTGATGCCGATCTTGTGATGCTTGCGCAGCCAGGAAAGGACCGAAGGGACATAGCCGAGAAAGGCTGCAACGATACAATGTAGGAGTGCCTTTCGAGCGCGAATTGCCCTCAACATACTTGGACCTTTTCCTCGGACCACGGATGGCAACAAATACATCCTCATTGTCATGAACTACTTTACGAAGTGGCATGAAGCTTACCCAGTTCCAGATCAAAAGGCTGTCACAACAGCTGAAGTTCCATTACAGAATTGGGTGTCCAGATTTGGGACCTCCCACCAGATTCATTCCGACCAAGGCAGGAACTTCACTTCAGCTGTGTTCAAGGGACTCTGCGAGTTGTTGGAAATCAAGAAAACGCAGATTACCCCATTACATCCGCAGTCTAATGGCATGGTGGAGAGGTTTAACCGTACAATCCTCAACCACCTCTCGCTCATGGCTTCCAAAAACCTGGGATCGCACACTGCCCCTGTTCCTGCTTGCTTACCGTAGTGCCGTCCATGAAAGCACCGGCTATTCTCCATCACAGATGCTCTTTGGTCGCAATCTCCGCCTGCCAAGTGACGTGCTCTTCGGCCACCCTCCGGATGTACATTCCTCGACTGAGGAGTACGTGCAAGACCTCCAGGCCTGGTTGCAAGCAGTACACAGGTTTTCTCAAGAGCAGATCAACATCTTGATGGACAGGATGAAGATATGATGCAAGAGCCACCGAACATCAATTCCAGGAAAACAACAAGGTTTGGCTGTGGAATCAAAGTCGTCGTAAGGGTGTTTCTCCCAAACTGCAGTCGCATTGGGAGGGTCCCTATACAGTCCTCAACAGATTGAACGACGTTGTGATACGGATCCGTATATCCCCCAATTCAAAACCCGAGGTCGTTCATTATGACAGATTAGCCCCATACTATGGCCATAGTATTTAGTGCTTCTCATTCTTAGGGGTACCCATAATTCTTGTGCATGAGTTTTCTTACCTAGTTTCTGTGTAAAGTTTGTATGTAGTGTTAATGTTTGTTTCTTTAGTTATGTTATTTGTTTGTTTTATTACCTTTTGTTTGTATCGAACTTCTTCCCAATTTGTTTGTTTTATTACCTTTTGTTCCGTCAAACTTCTTGGCTTCTGACCAAGGTTGTACTGCCCGGGACGTGCAGTCCTTGGGAGGGGGGCAGTGTTACGAAATGTACAGGCACGGTAAGATGGCTTCCCCGCAAAGCAGTTTAAGGTTTGCCATAAAATAGCAAGGGAAGGCAGAGTTGCCACATTTGGCGAGAAATCGCCTATTTGGCAACAAAATTGGCGCTATACCGTGGACGGATGGCAGGGTTGCCACGCTACCTGGAAAACCGGGAGAACCGGGAAAAGTCAGGGAGTTCGAAAATTGACCAAAATTCAGGGAAAAGTCAGGGAATTTAAGTATTATTGTCAAAATCTGAGAAAAGTCAGGGAAGTTCATACAACGATCCGCCAAAAAAAGCGATTTTGCGCTGAGTCGGAAGAAATAACCTTTTTGGCGAATTATGCATCACGTGAGGTCATTCGGGTAGATGGCAAAGAGCCAATTTTCGCAGCTCCAATTGATTGTCTTTTAGAAAGGCAAGCAACTTTCCCGCAACTTTGGTTTCCATTATCTTGAGAATCGCATGTGCAGTGCATGAACTAAAGAAAGTACCTGTTCTTGTATAAAACAAAATGGTTTAATCCTAGTATACAGTACCATGAGTTAGAATCAAAGAAATATGTATTGTAAAGAAAGAAAACCTCTCTGCAACAGACGTGGCTGTGGCTCCGTTCCATCATAGAGGGAACAGCTGTGTGTCTGATTATCTGTTGCCAAAGCTCGAAACCGGTGTCGAAGTTCGAAGGTCACGTTATCAAGAGTCATAAAATGAATATCGTTTAAAATTCTTTAACCACTTGCGCTAAAAAGACGTGCCACGCCGTCAAGATGCTTTTGTCTCAAACCGCAAGCGACGTGAACACCACGTCGATAAGCATTTATCGCAAAAATGAAAATAACGTGGTGCACATGTCGCCTAACAACGAGATTGTTTATTTCTCGAGTTACAGCTCTGGTTGCACTCGCAGATGCGGAGCGGCGTAAATGAGACACTTACCGCTTGTTATTGTAGCGCACGGCACCGCAACCGTGAAGTTTACTTAGCGGAAGTGGTTAAACTCTAAGGAAAAGAAAATATTTTTGGCGCAAGTAAATTAATTCAGGAT